TTTTTCCTGCCTGGAATCCCACCTTGTAAGGCAAAACTCTGCAGAACTTCTGACCAGCCATAGTCACGCAGGTCTCTGTAAGTCTGCCCACTTTCTGCCATTTGGGTCCATTCTTCAATCCTTTTGTGAATGAGACTAAGAACCCTCTAGTGGATCCTCTTTCCCCCTATTTCAGTACAGGCCAAAACTATGGACATACAGTGTCTTACTTTAATTAAGAGACAAAATGACCTACAGTAACAGTATGTGAAGGTGTTTTGCAGACAATGATAGACTGGCACCATCCTTTGACATATTCTGGAAAAAAATTCATTTTGTACCCTTTATATGTTTAGAATGCAGCATTATCAGAAACCTTCAAAAATAAAATAAAATAGAATTGCATCCACATCAATGTATCAACTGGAGGGGTACATGTCATATCCCTCTAAAACAAACACCCATCCTACCAGACATTTAATCAAGAATTATCATCATAATGTTGAGGTACATTGTCAGTTATGGTTTGTGGGGAGATGTGTTAGCACAATTCACAAAAGGCGTGGTCCCTGTGGTCTCTGGCAGCAAGGTACTTATACCACAAGATAAATGTTTTGGTAGAATGAGTGAAGGAGAAATATAAACATGAAGTGAAATTAACATGAGGAACAAAACCCATCATTACTTGTAACCACATGTTAATAACTACTCAATTGAAAGAAAAATATTGGCAATAAACTTTATTATTATTGCAGGATGTTTTCAAGTATCTACTCAGTAACTGATGATAACATTTGACAAAGTATACACTGAATGAAGCAGACTATAAACACTAACATACAAAAATCTTGAACACATCAGAAAGTAAAAAAAATACAAAATCCAACTTAAATGCCATTTTATCTGTAAATTACAGTGGTGGTTAATCTATTAACTTGATTGGATTTCAGAAATCTAGGGTGTTAGTAGATCATACATTTGGGTACATCTATACTCTCATTTGCAGAGATAAATGACAAAATTCCTTGATGTGTTCATAGTATTATTGGGAGGTGGTAAAATGTAGAAGGTAAAGCCTATTTGAAAGAAGTAGGTTATGGGGGAGCATGCTCTTGGGGGGTATTACAAGTCACTGGACTCCTCCTGAATGACACGTTAAAGACTTCTGTGACCACCATAATGTAAATTGTGGTACTCCATTATGACTTCCCTGCCACAATGACTGATACCTAAGAAATTGTGAACCAAAATCAATTACCGAAGCTCCCTTCCTTCCTTCCTTCCTTCCTTCCTTCCTTCCTTCCTTCCTTCCTTCCTTCCTTCCTTCCTTTCTTAGATAGTCACAGCAAGAAGAACAGTAACCAATTTAAAAATGTAAATAGGAGGCTGGAGAGATGGCTCAGCGGTTAAGAACACTGGCTGTTCTTGTAGAAGACCCAGGTTCGAATCCCAGCATCCAAATGGCAGCTAACAACTGTAACTCCAGTCCCAGGAGATCCAACAACTTCTTCTATCTTCCATGGGCATTGCACAACATGGGTGCACTTACCTACATGCAGGCAATACATGCATACACAAAATAAAAATAATAAATAAAATATTTTTAAATGTAAATAGAGATGAGATGCTTCCACATAAGGCCAGTGGAAAAATTCAGATAACAAAAATTAATTTTTCAACAGCCCATTAATGACAATTATTTTGTTTTATTTTGATTTTTGAGACAAGGTCTCACTCTGTAGCCCTGAGTGACCTATAACTCTTGATGTAGCTGAGGCTGGCCTTGAACTCATGCCTCAGCTTCCTGAGTGCTGAGGTTACAAGTGTGTGTCACCACACCCAGCTATCAGCTACTTTAATAAGTAAAAATTAACTCTTACATATTAGAAATACATTTTGATTCGCATATGTATCCAATATTACTGAATAATAAAAGCAAATATGATTTAATTAAAAAGGTCACTATTTTGAAACTGCAGCCATTTTGATTAAACAAACCTTAGGGGATTATCAGTTCAACAATTATTTTTCAGTGACAATTAGAAACAAATACTCCAGGGGCGGAAGAGATGGTTCAGTGGTTAAGATCAAGCATTGCTCTTTCAGAGGACCTAAGTTCAGTTTCCAGTGCTCACATAGGTGGCTTACAACAGACTGTAACTCTAGCTCCAAAGGATAAAATGCATTCTTCTGGCCTCCTCAGGCATCTGCATTTGTGTGCACAAAGCCACACACTGACAGATGCACATAACGAAAAAACGAAAAATGGTAAATCTTAATAAAAAAAGAAATAGTCCAGAAATCTATTTTAATACTGAATGACCAATTATCTTAATATGATTATAATTTTTAGAACATATCTTTCAGGCTGTATAATTTCTGGGGCACTTTGCATCAATATTTTCATAAGACATAGAGATTTGACTAAATGAGGAACTTTAACAGAACACTAAAAATTTATTACAATTCACAACTTTGTTATGCTTTTGTAAATTTATAAATTTAAATGCCGAGTGCATATTTAGATATGGGAAAACTAAAGACTTTTACACATCTCTTTAAGATTTCTCATCAGAGCATGTGGCTTCATGTTTGTGAATTCAACTAAGATGACCGCAGACATTCCTACAAACTTTACAATATTCTTTTCCCTACATATTGTGTTTGTTAGAAAGGTTATGTGACATGGTAGTCTTTGCAGAATCTAGTCTTTGGAATTCTCTCCAGTGTATCTTTTCATGTTTTTTAAGGGAACTACAAGTACTGAAGGCTTTTCCACATTGCATATATACGTAGGGTTTTTCACCAGTGTGAATTTGTTCATGTCTTTGGCAATGACTCAAAGAAGAAAAGGCTTTTCCACATTGTTTGCATGTGAAGGGTTTCTCTCCACTGTGAATTCTTTCATGGCGTTGAAGGGAGCTGTGAGCAGTGAAGGCTTTCCCACACTGCTTACATAGGTAGGGTTTTGCTCCACTGTGAACTCTTGCATGACGTCGAAGAGAACTGTCAGTCAACACTAAAGACTTTACCACACTGATTACATTTATAGGGCTTTTCTCCAGTGTGAGTTCGTTCATGTATTCGAATGGAACGGGAGGAAATGAAACCTTTCCCACACTGTTCACAGACATAGGGTTTCTCGCCACTGTGAATTCTCTTATGATAGTGAAAGGAACTGTGATTGGTAAAGGCTTTCTCACAAACTTCACATACATAGGGTTTCTCTCCAGTGTGACATCGTTTATGTCTTCGAAGGGAATTATAGTAAGTGAAGGCTTTCCCACACTGCTTACATACATAGGGTTTTTCACCTGTGTGAGTTCTTTCATGGTCATGAAAGTTACTCAAATAAGTGAAGATTTTATCACATTTCTTACACCTGTAGGGTTTCTCTCCAGTATGAGTTCGTTCACGTCTGGGAATGCTACTCAAACTAGAAGCAGCTTTTTCACCTTGCTTACATACATAGGGCTTCTTTTCAGTGTGAGTCTTTTCATGGTACCAAAAGAAACTGAGGTTCATGAAGGCTTTATTACATTGCTTATACACACATGTTTTCTCTCCATTGTCAATTTTTACATGTATTTGAATGTAGCTCTGAGTCTGGAAAGCTTTCTCACATTGCTTATGTTCACAGGTGTTTTCATCATGAGTATCTTCATGCTTCAGAAAGTATTCAGGATAAATGAAAAAATTCTCATATCCCTTAACTTTATAAAGACTCATTTTATATTGTTCAAATTTACACAGTTCAGTCTGCATAGTAATAGGCACATTTATGGATGAATGGCTAATGAGTATATCTTCACACACATGGCTTTCACATAATTTTACTAGAGTAGTTTTCTTCTTTAGAACTGTACCTAGAATCTGGTTGAAGATTTCTTTGTATCCACTACTTTTATGTCCATCCAAACTCTCCACTATTTCACTTCTGTAAAAAAGGAAAAAATATATTACTAAAGTTTTGTTTAGGGCTAGGGAGATGGTTTGGTGGTTAAGTATGCTTGAAGTCCAAGCATGAGGGACTGCATTCTAGCACTCATGTAAAAGCCAGGCATGGCCATGTGGAGACCAGGAGATCCTGAGAGCTCACCAAACAGCTAGGCTAGCCAAACTGGTAAGCTTCCAGTTCAGGAAAAGATCCTATCTCAAGGCAATAAGGTAGAGAGCAATGGAGGAGGACATCTCATGTCCTAATCTAGCCTCCACATGGACAACCACACCTGCATACTTAAACATGTACACCACACACACAACATCAAAGTTTTGTTTATAATTTATATGCCAGTGGAGTTGCTGTTCTTATCAGTTTAGGATTTTTTTTTCCACCGACAGGGTCTCCCCCAGCCCACCTGGAATTCACTATATAAGCCAGGCTACTACACATGAAACAAAGTTTATCTAAGATTAATTTTAAAGCTGGGTTTAAATATACTTGTTTTATGTTTTATTTTTGTGACTTTTAATTTTTAATTTTAATTTTATTTTGAGACAGGTGTCTCACTGTGTTGCCCTGGTTGGCCTGGAATTCACTAGTAGACCTGGATGGACTTGGACTCACAGAGATCAACTTGCCTCTGCCTTCCGGGTGCTGGGAACAAAGCTGTGCATCACAATGTTCATGTTTTATATTTTATTTTTTTTAAAGACCTAGTCATAGTCTATTTATTTATTTATTTATTTATTTATTTATTTATCTAAGACAGGGTTTCCCCATAGCTCCAGCAGGCCTGGAACTTGCTATATAGACTAGGCTGGCTTCTGTCTCACAGAGATTCACCTGCCTCTGCCTCCCAAATACTGGGAGTAAAGTGTGCCACCATGTTTTTCTGCTTTCTATTTTGTTTTGTTTTCTGTTTTTGAGACAAGGTGTACCTATGTAGTCCTGGGTGGCCTAAAACTCTGATAGATCCTCCTGCCTCCACCTTTAGAGTGCTGGGATTAAAGGTGTGTGCCACCACAACCAGGTCAATCTCATATTCTTGAGGGATTTTTCTTTCATTTGGGAGCATAAATTACCTTAGATTCCTCCAGGAATTTTTGTAGTTATCTTCAATGTTCTGGCCCTGCTGTGTTTGTCCTAAAAATGTAGAACCAGAAAAAATTACTATGAATTCTATCATCATAGGAAAAAAAAATTGTTAGTACATTAATGATATGTTACTGTGCTTGGTATATTCGCCAAACTGACCCTTTACTTCTTCCAAATTATGGAGCAGCATTGATGAACAGGACAGACATGTTCTTCAATTGAGTAGTCAGGAATTATTTCACCTTTACCTATAGAAGTCAGGTTCCTGAAGTTTTCTTCCATCACATCTCTGTAGAGTTTCATCTGGGAAGGATCCAGCAAAGCCCACTCTTCCAGAGTGAAGTTCACAGCCACATCCTCAAAGGTCAAAGACTCCTAGTACATACCACATATTTCCAGGAGGAAAGGTGAGACTCACAATACAAGTCATCTGGACTCAATTCATTTTTTTTTTATTTTTCTAAAGATTTTATTTTTAATCATGTGTATGTGTGAATCTCTATGTGTGCAAGTGAATATAAGTGCTGACCTCAAACTCAGAAATCCTTTTACTTCATCCACTCAAGTGCTAAGATTTCAGGTGGTGCAAAAATCCTGCCTCACCCATCCCCCTGCTTTGGGACCATCTGCAGTCCCTCCAACTGCTCCAGGGTTCAGGCTTCCCTGCTGGCTAGTAGGGGCCTGCACATCCTTGTCCCATACCTCTCCTTGCATGCCCATCCTTCTGAGACTGTGCCTGACTCAGCCTCCAGGAGTAAGTTGCCCAAATTCTGCCATGCTCACCCCCCTGCTTTGGGACCATCTGCAGTCCTTCCCACCCATCCAGGGCTTAGGCTTCCCTGCTGGCTAGTAGGGACCAGGTTCATCCTTTCCCCATCTCCTCTTCTAGGCCCTTAGCCCTATCTCTCTGAGGCTACTGAAGTATGCCTAATTAGCCTGGGCAGCTAGACCCTCCTGGAAAGATCCTGAGTAGCCTGCCTGGATCCATCTGGTCCCTCCAATATAAAATCAAAAGAGAGAATCTGAAACCTAAAGCAACTATTCATACCCAATCAGAAAGCAACAAAGCAACAAAAGAAATCCACGTGCCAAAACCACAACAAAAAATAATAATATGAAAAACAAAATAATACTTTCCCAACAAACACCACCAGCCCTATAGGTGAGTTCTATAATGAGAACTCCCTAAAGGTAACCCAGGATACAGAATTTAAAAGAAAAAACATAAATATAATTATAGAATTCAACAAATTTAAAGAACATACAAACAACTCAAAGATCCAAAAGAGGATAGGGATAAACTTCTGACTTAATTCATGGAAGAGATTGAAATATTGAAGAAAACTCAGGCTGAAATGAAGAAAGAAATGAAAAACTCAATAAGCCAATTTGAAATGACAGGAGAAAGCCTCACCAACAGAGTAAATGAAATGGAAAACAGAATATCAAGACTGGATGACTGGACAATAAAGTTGAAGAATTGGACTGCTCAAACAAAGAATATGAAAAATTAAAAATATAAACACAGGAATGGAATATGCAGGAAATGTGGGACACTATAAAAGACCAAATTTACGCACTGTATCATAGGCATAAAAGAAGGAGAAGAATCCCAGGTAAATGTCATTTAACAGATCTTTAATAGGATTATGAAGAAATTTCCCTAAATTAAGGAAAGACATATCCATGCAAGTTTCTCTAATATTGACCATATCCTGGGGCACAACCTCAACAAATGCAAAAAAAAAAAAAAACCTGAAATAAGTCCATACATTCTATCATACCACAATGCAATAAAGCTTTAAATCAACACCAAAAGAAGCTCTAGTAACTACATGAACTCATGGAGATTAATCAACATACTCCTGAATGATGAATGTATTGAAGAAATAAAGAAAAAAATAAAAGTATTCCTGGAACTACATGACAATGATAATATAACAAAACAAAACATCTGGAACACTTTAAAAGCAGTCCTAAGAGGGACGTTTATAGCTCTAAGTGCCTATATTAAAAGTTCACACAAATAAATGACTTAATGATATAACTCAAGACTCTGGAAAGTCAAGAACAAACAAAACCCAAGCCCAGCAGATGAGAAGTAACAAAAATCAGAGAAGAAATTAATGAAATAGAAACAAAACAGTACAAAGAATCAATGAATCTAAGACTGGTTCTTTAAAAAGATAAACAAGACAGACAGACCCTTAGCCCAAGTAACCAAAGAAAGAGCAAACCCAAAGCAACAAATTAAAGATGAAAGGCAAAATGTCACAATATACACCAAAACATAATAAGGGAATACTTTAAAAATTCACATTTTGTTAAATTTAAAAACATAAAAGAAATGGATGAATTTCTAAATTCATGAAAACCACCAAAGCTAAATCAAGAAGAGATCAACAGCTTAAACAGACACACAATGAATAAGGAAATTGAAACAGCAATACAAACTTCCCAACTAAAATCCCAGATGGATTCACAGTAGAATTCTACCAGCATTTTAAAAAGATCTACAACCAATACTACTTAAATTATTTAAAAAGATAGAAATGGGCTGGAGAGATGGCTCAGTGGTTAAGAGCACTAGCTGTTCTTGCAGAAGACCCAGGTTTGATTCCCAGAACCCACATGGCAACTAACAACTGTCTATAACTCCAGTTCCAGGGAATTCAACAACCTTTTCTGACCTCTGCAGGCACTACATGACATGGGTACAATTACATACATAATACACATACACATAAAACAAAAAATAAATAAATCAAAAAATGTTAAAGACAGAAACAAAGGAAAAACTCTCAAACTTTCTATAATGTCCCAAATTGAAAAAGACACAACAAAAAAAGAAAACTGAAGATTCATATCCTTAATGAACTTAGATGCAAAAATTCTCAACAAAATATTTACAAATTATATACAGATACAGATCATCCACCAGGATCAAGTTGGTTTCATTCCATACATGCAGGGATGATTCAATACACAGAAATCAATAAATGCAATAAATCATATAAAGGGACTTAAAGATAAAAATTACATGGTCATCTCAATAGATGCAGAAAAGACATTTGACAAAATCCAACATGCATTTATGTTGAGTTCTAGAGGAAACTGGACTAGAGGAAATACCTCAACATAATTTAAAGAAGGAGTCTGAGAGAGAGGGATAGTAGGAGATATGTGAAACCTAGGGGGAAATGGGTAAAACTGGGGTACTTAACTGGGAGGGAACTCAGGAGAGTTATACAAGCAACTATGGGTTAAAGGGAAAGAAAGGGCTCAAGTAAGGGAGTCTGAGAGAAAGGGATGGTAAGAGATAGGTATTATCAAGGGGATAAAGGGGGAAAACAGGGGTACTTTACCTGGGGAGGGAAAAAGGAGGGTTAAACAAGGAGAGGAGAAAGATAAATAATGCTTTGGTGGTGTGAAAAACCAGAGGGCAATGTATTAGCTCAAAAACCTACTGAAAAAATACACATACAATGTCTGTACATGAGTGCATGTATATACCTAAAGGCTATATAACAAAAACCACAGTGCCAGACAGGAGACACCTCCCTTTGAATTGTTGGTCAGGGTAGTCCAAGAGACTCCCAAAATTATACAGGCTATTGCCACAGGCCTTGATTACATCCCAAAACTTGAAGATAAGACCCTATTGCTGAAGACAGGACATATTTGGTACACAAGACATGGAGCAATATAGCAATTTTGGTCGCAGTTCTTTGGCCTTGTAATGCTTGTTCCACCTCAGGGCTCTTCCTTGAAGAAAGTCATGAATGAATAGCTCTCCTCACCTAGGAATAAAAACTTCAGACAGTAAGAGTTAACAAGAGAACACAGTTGTACATATAAGTCACTATTTCCCAAATATTCAAAGAATTCTGGGCAATTCGATCTCCTTCCAGGAGAAAGGAAGGATCAGGCACCCAAACACTATGGTTCCTCCCTTCCAGAACCTCACACAGGAATCAGAAGCCTGCACCTGACACTGTTGCCATCACTGCATTCTAGGAAGAGCAGGACAGTGGGCCAAAGCTGTCCAGAGAGATTTCTAGTCCAGAGTGCAACTTGCTGAGCAGGACAGGACACTAGGGTTCCAACTGCTGGCCCAGGCCCAGATGCGGGAAACAGAAGGGACCAAGAGTACAGTAGCATCAGTGGCAGATGGGCTGTAGACTGCAGCTGACATGAAAGGCCAGGTTCTGCTACAGATGCCTGGAGTGGCATACCTCTAGTCCAACCATCCACACCTACACACAGAGCCTACACCTACCATTCTGATTTTACCTGTTGTCCCAAACTCCTCAGCATGGTATCTGTGGCCTTTGCAGGTCACAGCACAGACAGAGGCTAGGCTCCATGGACTCTGGCATACTCCAGATTCTGAAAATAGTAAATAAAAGGATCTCCAGGGTTAAAGAGAGATTCTTCTTCCCACAGTCATGTGGTTGGATAGTTTGTACAGCTTGTCCCAGTGAACCTCATTGGCTAATGAGCCAGGACCTGCCCCTGCTTGACCTCTGGGTTACAACAGAAACAATCCCTACCACACTGGGGTGTGGGCACAAATAGCAGATTCTACTCACAGACCTCCGCAGGCCAGGCTTTCTTCCCTAGTGTGCATTGGGCCCAAACTAAGGCATAACTGAATTTAAGTAAAACTTGTTCCTGGCGTTTGGACTGGGACTGATTTCTTCCTATTTTTGGTGGGAAATTTCTACCTCTTCCTGCTGGAAATGGGGTCAGTAGTCTGCTCAGTGAATTCTAGACTATGTTCCATGGAGACGATCACTGATCATAGAGCAGGCATGCCTGTGCCAGGCCAGGTAGGATATGATGTGGCAATTAGTGAACATAGGTGAGGCATCTGGCTTCATGGATATGGCACATGAGTGCCTTATTGCTCAATTGACTCATTTTCAGGCAAGTATGTATATAGAACATGATAAATGAGACAATACAATTATTACATATATGAAGAACCTATTTATATGTCACAACGTACAAAGGAATTAAGATAGAAGAAAACTAAATCTTTAACTAGCTTAGAAAAGCAGTTAGCTTCCTCTAAAGTCACAAGGAATTAACTTCAGAAGGTTAAACATCTTCCTACCTTGGCAGTGAGACTGACTGGTACTCAGGCAAGAACATCTAAGGATTTAACTTTGGAAGTTCAGCATGCCCTGCTGCTCCTTCTCCAAAAGTGGACATAATCCCTCCATCAATACTTTAATGTTCACCGTGGGGATAATCTCACCGAGAATCATTTTAAATTATCACCTAAAGAAAGCATCAAATTCATACTTTGTCCAGGAAATGCTCAAAATGACTTTTTTCCAAAGCCTGACCTGGGTGTGCCAGTTGAGGCC